CAATCGATTTAATCAATTTAACTGATTGATCCAACCGCTCAAGGATCCTTTTTTCTTGGGTCAGGACCTGATTTTCTGTAAAACAAATGAGGCTTCCTTCAAGCTCTCTGGCAACTTTCCATTGCAAACCCAACCATAACCTTCCCTCATCTGGCGCCTGTGCAGTACACCTTTACTTCTTTCTTCTCCATATGCCAACTACTCTTCCTTTGGATTTTGAATCTATTGTACTTATGATTTTGATGATTACAAAATACATTTGAGTGACTAATTAATTCATTTAAATATGTAGTTAAAATGTCAAAAGATTGCAAAGTAAGTGAACTTGGACTACATTAAAAATGGACCAAAAGGCTAAAATGTGCAGCCGACTCTGGAAGGCAAAAATGCATAGAGCCAATTGCAGATTTTAAGATCCGGCTCTACGGGTAAAACTTTCCAGTCCGTTGTTTGGTGCGCGCGAAAAACAGACACAAAGCAGGCTCTGACTTTACAACTGACTGTGAGGGTGCATTTAATGCACAACGATCGAGTCATTTGAAGATTATTTAATGTGTTTAAAGTTGGAATCCCAAAGTCGACTTTATGATTTGCAGTCGGCTTTTCAAGAAAACAGAATGTGCAAAAAACCCACAAAACCGACTTTACAATTTGCAACCGGCTTTATGTTTTGCAGCCGACTCTACAGAGAAAATAAAATGTGCAGGAAACCCGCAACGCTGGCTGTAGATTTCCTTAATAGCTGGTTGTAGATTTCCTTAACAGACGATTGTAAAAGTGTAAGCCAACTGTGTTGACAATTCTGCAACTTGAATTAAGTGACCTGTAGAGCATTAAATGACTCCCAACGACTAGTAACAATTATTTTCGACCATAAAGTTATAAATATGGTTGGTAGAAGATCTAGAAGAAGTTTGAAAAGTTTTGTATTGAATATCTCTATCTACCAACTTGTGCTTTAAGTTAAGTATTTGATTTTTGAGATATCTTTACTTGTAATCCCCTTCTTATTCTATTTTTGAGTGATCTTGAGGGTGTGATTGTTTCTTCAAGAGGGATTTGTAAAAAAGATTGTTTGGGTTTATCTTGTAAAAGGATGAGATTTGAAAGAAACATCATTTTTTGTTGTAAAAGAATTGAGTGGCTCCTTTAAACCACTCTTGATTTTAGTTAAGAGTGTGGAGGAAATTCTTTGTGAGTGAAACCAAGATAGAAAACTAAATTTTAAGTGGTTGGATCGAATTTTTATAAAATAATTGTGCAAGCTTTTCTTCCTTATTCTCTTTTTATTTTTGTTTTTGTTTGGTGATCACAAAGAGATGAATATTTTTCAACTCCAATTCACCCCCTCTTAGAGTACCTTGGGCCAACATAATCCACATCTAGGTTTTCTTTTTTTGCGGATTTTATTTACGGTTTCAGCTTTGAATATGCAGCAATGGAATACTCACAGGCATCGGCATCCACTCAAAGTATAGCTATCTTTTAGACTCCCTTGAACCTTAGATCGATCTCCATGCAATAGCCATCCTCCCTTCTCCAACGTAGGTGAGTTATCAAATTCACTTATGTTCCTATTTTTCTTTTGATTTGATATGAAATCTTGCAATTTTCAAGGAGAAAGGTTGTTGATATCGATGGAGGAGATGAGGAGATGCAGATCTGTTGTGTTGTTGCTTTTATTTGGTGGAGGAAAAAGAGGCCATTTTTGTTCAGTAAGGAAAAGAGAGGAAGGTGAGTGGTAAAGGAGATGAAGGAGATACAGATCTATTTTGTTGTTGCTTTGTTCAGTGGAGGAAGGAGAGGTTGCTTATGTTCGGTGGAGGAAAGAGGGGCTACTTTTGTTTGGTGAAGGTGAGGAATGTGGGCTGCAAAAGGCTGGAAGCTGAGTTATGGAACTGTTGATGGACGTGGCTGAGAGCAGGGAGGTCGGCGGAGGAAGGAGAGGTTGCTTCAAATCATCTGTTATATTTCTTCTTCTTTCTATTTTCTGGAATTTGCAAATGTTGAGAATTTTTTTTTTTCATTTTTGACTTTCTATTAGGGTTTTTCTTTTTTCACTAATTGTAGATAAAGTTTAAGGTTTTTAATGTTATTACATTAAAAAGATGGATAAAATGGGTATTTTACATTAAAAATGAAAAAAAGGGTTAATTGAAGAGATGACAGTAAGGATGGCAATTTGCCCCAATCCCTGCGGGGCCCCGCGTGGATCCCCGTCACGGGGACGGGGCGGGAAGGAATATTCCTCTGCGCGGGGCGGGGACGGGGGCATTTTCCTCCCGTGAAATTTCGCTGGGAATTTTCCCCGCCCCGTAGGGCCCCGCGGGGATCCTCATCCCCGCGAAAAATTTATAAAAAAAAATAATTTTATTTTAAA